TGGACATTGATTCTCTTGATGTTTTTGGACATTTTTTTGAACAATTTTTGTGTTTTCTCTTCCCTTTGTCTCTCCCAGTCAAAAAAGGAGAGTATATACTTGGTTGTTCACAGCTCATATTTGTTGGGATGGGATTATTCATATTACTGGTAGTTCATACTTGGGATATTGGTTTAATTTAAGTAATCCCGTTTGAATTTATTGAGATATTGAGTATACTGATTGGATATTGACAATGGACTAATTGAGTTTGAATTTTTGGGATTTTGGATTAGACTAATTAAGTTTGGAGTCATTATGTCTTGATACGTTATTTGTTTTGTTTCTTGATAAATTACTTTATCTTTTCCCAGTGGTTTGGTTTATATATTTTTGTAGGGTTTTTTGTCAAGGCTGTTGATTATTTGGCTGAGTTAGAATGTTAGTCTAGTGCGTGTGTTTGCTAGGAAACTGTGTGAGAATGTTTTGTCCGGGAATTGACAAAGGGGAAGATTGTTAGGTCCCTTAGTCTTGTCAATCCTATGAACAAACATAGTTTATCGAATTGTAAATTTCCTTGGTTTTTGACTTTCTCGCTCGAGCGAAGGAGTCCTGGCTTGAGCGAAAATGTTATGCTCCCAAAAGTTTTCTATGTCTGCAAAAATACTGGAAATGAAGTTTGTGTGTTCAAGCGAAGGAAGCTTGGCTCGAGCGAAGACACTTAAGCAATACACGCGTAGTTGGTTCATCGCTCGAGCGACCATTGTGGCCCTATTTTCTATAAATTTGTGTTTCAGTCCGTTTTTAGGGTTACTGCTTCCAAATCTTTTTTGAGGGTTATAGGGTTTTCTTCTGGAGCAATTTTGGTAGTTTTCTTTGATGTTTGATTGAGTATTAAACTCACAGAATTTGACAAGCATACACCAAAGAGTTGTTTGCGTGTTCAACTATTCAAGAGTGTTCTTCTTCGGTGAAATCCGGAGATTTAAGCGTGAAGTATTCGAAGGAGTTCAAAGCTATGTGCAGTCGTTGATTCGTTAAATGGATGTTGTGGATTCAACATCAATCTGATCAATTTCAAGACGAAGATTGTGATGAAAGAAATACAGATTGTTGAAGACAAATTAATTGCGTTTGGGTAATTTGTTTTGGTATATTGTATTCTTTATACAGATTGTTGAAGATGAATTGATGGCATTTGGGTAATTTGTTTCGATATATTGTATTCTTTCTTTCTTTCATAGTGGATTGATTAGTGGTATTTCGTCTGTGATTTTTTTAATCTCCAATTATGGTTTTTTCACGTAAAATTGGTTATGTCGATTTATTGATTTTAAAGCAACAATCTAAATCACTTTCGTACATGCTAAATGATTTAGATTGTTAATTTTAATCATTTGGAAATTGTTGCAACTAATCTTGTTCCAAATCACGAATCACTTAGGTTTTCCACTATATATTCCTCATCAACTCTTAGAACTAGTAATTAAAAAAAAAAAAAATTCTCTAAAAAACACTCAAAATCAAACTTTTGGTTGAAGGAAATCTAAATCCCTTGGTAGCCAAATATTGGCACCTATCGGTTGATCAAAACCGGGAATCGGAAGGGGAAGTCATCGCCGGAGCTCACCGGAGAGGAACTGTTTGGAGCTGACTTTGACGCTGAAGGTAGTTAAGGAAATTTTCTTTCACTTTCCCGGGAAAATTCTGAGAGAATGCCGGAGAGAGAGATAGAGATTGAATTCAACGGTCCGTAGGGAAGGGGGGTAGAGAGAGAGTCGTTGTGGGCGGGGTTTTAGTCAAAGCCTCTCTCTCTTTCACACTCTCTCACGGTGTTTCTCTCAATCTCTGTTCTCTACTCTACTCCTTGACTGGTATTTTCCTAGTAATCCGTAGAAATCCTACACTATTTCTTTACATGGCACATGATAGTGTTTTGAAGATGCATGGACTAAATGTGAAATTTTTACAAATTGCTGAATAAAACACAGTGGAACTGTTGTTCAATTTAATGCACATACATCCTGTAATAGACTGCGATTTAGTTCGTTGCTGTTGCCTTTATTTATCTAAAGATGTTGCACTGATATGCTGTTATGCTTCTTTTTTTTTCCATGTAAAACTGACAAATTGCAGCTGCCCTGGATATGATATTAATTTTTCTAACTTGGTCTTGTTAATATCCAGGCGATGTCAAGGTGCAGTCAACCTATACCTTGCAGTGCTTTCAACAATGATGGCTCAGTATATGCTTACTCATCATGTCCTGTCTAAAATGTGTAACAAACTCATTAGGGAAATGGAATAATTTAATTTGGGATAAAGATTGAAATCTTTGCCCATGCAATGGAACACTTATTTGTCATTTCCTTTTGAATCTTGGTGGTGAACTCATTTAAAGCTTCATAAATACCACGCAAATTACATGAATGCTGCAGGATTTAGCAAATGTACGGAATGATGTTTGTTTTCTTTGTGAAGAAAATAGCATTATTAGTTCTGGGGGACACAATGTCTAAAACAAAACCTAAAACCAGTAAGGCTTGAGAAGACCTCCTGTCTCGTATTTTTAGTCTGACGTGGGTTGAGAAAGCTGGATGTGTTGTCAGGACATGGACCTCCTGCTTATTATTTCTGCTTTTAGTCTGTCAATTTCACCTCTTGCCTTGTTTTTTTTAGTTTATTGTTATTATTATTTTTTATAGGTGTGTTATGATTGGAGTAAGGGTGCTGAAAATCATAATCCATCAACAGCAAAGACCTACATTTACCTGCACTTGCCACAGGTATAATAATAAAAGATATATAAGATATGATCATTCATTCTTCTACAGAATATTTCCTTTCCCGTGTGACGACCACAGTTTTACTCGTATGGTTCAGAAATGATCTGATGTTATGTTTACTCGTATGATGCATGAGTCAGAGGTTAAAGGCAAACCGAGAGTTGAAATCAGTGGCAGAAAATGAAACTGCTTGTTGTCAGTCTCAGGGAGAATATCCTGTTCTTTTTTTGTTTCCTTTTTTTTTTGTGTGTGTGTGTGTGTGTTTTCATCCATCCTTTTTCCAACTAGTGATGTATGAATTCTCTCTCTCCTTGTTAATATAAAAGTTTTGAGCAGAAATTAGGTTCCTCAGGTTCTTTGAATTAGATGCTTTTTAGTCTCCTAGTCATAGTGTGCTCTACTTTCCAAGTCTGAAGTTCAGTGGATGTTGTCTTTCTTTTCTTGGTCAGGTGATATTTTATTGGTTAATGTTGGGCAAATTGCAATGGAAGAATGAGAAAGTTACTACAATTTCATGATAATCTTTTTGATGCTCGTCTTTCCTGTGTTTTGCAAGTGGATGTAAGACTTCATGATAATCTTTTTTATGGAAGAATGAGAAAGTAACTACAATTTCATGTTGCCTTCTCTTTTCTCTCACGTTGTTTTCTTTGTTTTGTTGTGGTTGGGTGGTAAACAACAACTTTTGATCTAACAGAAAACACTACACAGAAACCTAGGGTTTTTACCAAAGCTTGCCTGGGTTTGAACACTATTACAAAAACGAACTTCCTTACATCTTATCTTACACATTGGCGGAAAGGAAGCTAGAGCTTAACCAAAGCCCCTGTCCCAAAAAAGTCACAATTGTCGAATCATATAAAAATTTCAAAGTACAAGAATTGTTAGTTACAAAAATTTCAAAGTATGGGATTCTTAAAATATAATTCAATGAATGTGACTGTTTCAGAAGAAATAAATGAGTTGGTGGAAGGAATATGCATTATCACATTTTGTTAGAATAGTTATTTAAATTATTTTCACTCAAATAAAGCGTACTAAACAAGAGAAAAGAAATGCAAAGTTAAAATGAGCATTTCATTTCAGCCCATTCTATCATAGTAGATGTGCTCAAAATGATTTTTAGTACAGAGAATCCCGTGTCAATTATACTATTAAAAGATTTAGACACAAGGTAAATGAAGTGTGTTATTTCGTCAACATGAGAGAGAGAGAGAGAGAGAGAGAGATGAAATGCCCTTTTTGCAACAATTGCTACATTTTCTATGTACATATTCATTTTTTTTTTTTTAAAAAAAATTTCTAGGTATTGACCTCTCTCTTCTTCAAAGATCGTTCCATTGGTAGATTCCATTGAGCCTAGGCAGAGTGTTTTGATCTCATTCGGATTCTTAGATTCGACAAACATGAGATGTGTCCCACACTTGAAGAAGTACATCGAATTTTAGAGATATCCCTTTGCTTTCAATCTTCCAAACTATATTCAGAGATCCCAAACGCTCAACAAAACCATGATCAGTAATCACAAATGCTCAAGTGTTATAATTTGCTTTCAGACAAAAAACAAAATGTATTTATTGGTGTATAAAATATATACTAATTGGACACATTACATAGCCTTTCCAGCCATGTTTTTGCTTATGAGAGAGAGAGAGAGAGAGAGAGAGATGAAATGCCCTTTTTGCAACAATTGCTACATTTTCTATGTACATATTCATTTTTTTTTTTTTAAAAAAAATTTCTAGGTATTGACCTCTCTCTTCTTCAAAGATCGTTCCATTGGTAGATTCCATTGAGCCTAGGCAGAGTGTTTTGATCTCATTCGGATTCTTAGATTCGACAAACATGAGATGTGTCCCACACTTGAAGAAGTACATTGAATTTTAGAGATATCCCTTTGCTTTCAATCTTCCAAGCTATATTCAGAGATCCCAAATGCTCAACAAAGCCATGATCAGTAATCACAAATGCTCAAGTGTTATAATTTGCATTCAGACAAAAAACAAAATGTATTTATTGGTGTATAAAATATATACTAATTGGACACATTACATAGCCTTTCCAGCCATGTTTTTGCTTATACCTAAAAATTCATAATCATCGTCATATAAACCGAGCTAAAAAAAAAGCTAAAGAGGAGAAATCATATACACAGATGGTATATATCACATTTAAATAAAGAGTGAGACTCCAAGAGACTTCTCTGTATGCCAAAAACAAAATCCATTTAAAAGATCATCTGGGATCGGACAATTCTTCTGGAGGGAGGTTGGGAGTGGAGTCGGGAAGGTTGTTGAATTGGGCAATGATCGAATAGTTATTTTGGGGGTGGATCTCCTCCTTTTGCCACTCTTCCCACCTCTCCTCCAACCCATCGCCTTCAAGCATTCTGACAACTTCCGACATCTGGGGACGTTCCATTGGGGAGCTCAGCGTGTAGAGCAGAGCCACCTGGATAAGTTGCTCCACCTGATCTTCGACGTAGTTTCCCTGCATATCTTCATTGACTAGTGTTTCCACCTTCCTATCTTTCAGAAGTCCTTTCACCTGAATTTTTTAGGTATTTTGAATCACAAATGTCAAATGACAGGTTATGAAATGATCTCATTAATAAGGAAGAGCACCGTCTATCAACTACTTTACAAATTAGAGAAAGCATCATAATAGCAAAAGAGAAGATCACAAAATCGGACATTTGAAAACTGATAACAAAAATAAAACGGAGACAAAGGTGGTTTATGATTTTCAATTTTGATTCAAAATTTCCTTTTCTTTGTCCAAATTGAAATGTGTGAAAACTTCAATCCTAAAATTTCAATATAGAATTTATGGTGTCCAAAGTAAAGACTGAGCCTCATATAGTATTATGGTGTATTTTCTTTTCAAGGTTCAATACTATGAAATAAAAGATGACTAAATTCTAAGTTTCCTAGCATTTGAAAACAAGATGGTCATTTAAGATTGTGATACTGTAAAAATCAGCAAATCACGATGATGACAAATTTCTTCAACATAACTGTTGAGTGGACTTTACTTTAAAATGCATCGAACAAGACTTTTTTTCTTTTTTTTTTTTTGAATACCATCATGAACATTACTCGACTCATTTTGAATTATAAAAGCAACAGAATAACAATTCCATTCATGTGCTTCTGACAAACCTTATAGTCAGCAAATTGGAGGCAGATTTTTTACAGAAGGGCTTTTAAGATGAACTCAAAGAATGGTATAAAAACAGCCAACCCAAGTACCGTAGTTACGTAATGAAAACAGATCGTATGAGGGAAATAAATGCTTACCCAATCAAGCAACATAACGTCGTTGTCGTCATCGACAAGTCGAGCAAGATCAAAAGCCCTCTGTCCAGTGATGAGCTCCAGAAGCATGACTCCATACCCAAAAACATTAGTTTTCTCTGAAGACTTTCCAGTGGAGAGGTACTCGGGAGCAATATGCCCAATTGTACCACGTACAGCGGTGGTAACATGTGTATCCTTGTAATCCATAAGTTTCGCTAACCCAAAGTCTCCAACAACTGCTTCGAATTCATCATCCAACAATATATTTGCAGCTTTGACATCACGGTGAATTATTTTTGGGTTGCAATGATCATGCAAATATGTAAGGCCTCTTGCGGATCCCAATGCAATTCGCTTCCTTTTGGGCCAATCAAGTGGGGGTTGTGAATCACATCGCTCTACAACAATGAAGCAATGAGATCATGCAAACATTGTAGAGATTAAGTAGGGTTGGGAACATGGTTCAAAATATTGATTTTAAAAATTTTCAACATTTGCTCAAAAACTTTGGGTCAACTATAATTTTTTAACCGTCAGCAACTAAAAGTAAAGTATATGTGAAAAAATCTAAAAAAATCAAAATCAAAATCAAAACAATTCACTAAAGACAAAAAAAAAATGAAAATGTGATTCCCAGCGCCCTCCCATTCCAGTTTTCTTTTGCCTTCTGTGTTTTTTCCTCTTCATATTTTAGTCTTTTTCTTTTATTTTATTTTTAAACTTTTTAGATGCATCAAAAAGTATTGAAAAAAAAAACTAAAATATGAAAATTTTCTTCAATTTTCTGAAAATTGAGTTTTTTGTTTTTAGTATTTTTTGTTTTTAGTGAATTTTTTTAATATTTTAAGAAACATTTGTACTTCTAGATACACTTAATGCAAATACAATTAAAAAGTATAATATTTGTGAAAAAAAATCTTTAAAAAATTCACTAAATACCAAAAATACAATATATATATACAAAAATTCAATATATTTTTGTATTCTTGTGTATTTATTGATTTTTTTAAATATTGTTTTACAAATATTTTACTTTTTAGGTACATCTAGGTTAGTTGCATCTAAAAAATAATATATATATATATATATATTAAAATATTAAAAAAATTCACTAAAAAAAATACGAAAAATAAAAATCTCAATTTTCAGAAAATTAAATTTTAAAAAATTGAAACCAAATAGGGTGTCACAAAACCGTTTTTAAAAAATCAAACTAAAACCATTTCTCTTGGTATCAAATTGGGAATTGGAATAGAAATAAAGCATATTGTATCAAATCTACTAAAAGTTCAAATGAATATAATATTTGACAAATAATTAAAAAAGGGAAGCATATGAAGATGCATGCAAGTAGGACCTCTTAAACATGAGGCAACACTTCCATTAGACATGAAGGGATAAACAAGCAATCGCTCTGTCGGTGTCATGCAAAAGCCATGCAAACGCAATAAATTTCGATGGACGGCCATGCTGATGATTTCCACTTCTGTTTGAAACTGCAGCTCCCCACCCTGAGTGCGTTCTTCTTTTAGTCTTTTTACTACCACTAGAGAGCCATTGGCTAATCGCCCTTTGTATACCTTACAAAACCCACATCTTCCTAGAATATTTATTTTGCTAAAACTATCAGTTGCAACTTGTAGTTCACGCAGAGAAAACCTCTTGAGCTGTCCTAGATGAACTTCAGGATCCTCTTCAACTACAAAGAGAAAGGGGAAATGCATTATACAACACTGTAACAATCAATTGAAGCATTGTTCAAAAAAAGTATAAATAAAAATCAATTTAAGGCATTTTCAACTTGGTCCACTAACCAGGTACATCAAAGAAGCTATCCTCTGGTTTCCTTCGCCGCCACCAAGCAAGTGCGATTGCAGGGTCAGCAAACAACAGGACAGCACCAGCAGCAACTCCTCCAGCAATGGCTCCAATGGCACTGCTACCTATTGGAATAAAATTTGCAATCAGAAATTAGTAAATTCACTCTTATTGTGCATTCCCTTCACAACTGAAAATTTTGATAGGAAGACAATTCAAAGGAATAAAATAATGCCATGGTTTGGACAATCTAGGTTCAGAGTCTCGTGGAAAAATTAGATTCTAACTTCAGCAACATATCATAAGTCGCTAATCTAAATAAAGCTGAAAATTGAACGATAAAGATCAAAGCTTGGGGTTTTCCCTAGGAAAATAAGTATTGGTTGTGCATCATAAACTATGAAGCACGGATATTTCAAACAGGGAGACGTATCCATATCGGATACTTATCAGATATCGATACTCCTTGAATACTTGCAGATACGTATCAAATACTTCTTATTTAATTTTTTATTAATTCTGGAGTATCGGATGCTTAATTTTGAAGTATCGGATACTTGAAGTGACATATTACTTCTAATACCTTGCTTAGTTCTTTGATAAGAGGAATATAATGAGAGTTAAAGTAATAGAATTTGTCAAATCAATGTATTCTTATTGTCTCTCTCACTCTCTCACGTTTCTCTGCTCTCATTTTTTTTTTGGTGTTGGCATGTAAGAATAATGTTTAATTTGCATTTGCTTTTAGTTTTGGATATTTTATGAATGTTTGAAGACTCTTTAACTTAATAGAAATCCCTCTCTTTATTTATTAATTTGCATTAAGTTTTATTTTCATGCATATTACATTGTTAAAATTATAAAAAAATATTTTTTTTACGAACGTATCCCCGCCGTACCCGTATCTTACTTTTTCAGATTTTGGTGTATCGTCGTATCCCGTATCCATGCTTCCTAGATCATAAATATGTGGGGAAACTAAAACCTATACGTACTGGTTGAGGAATTGACCTAACATGCAATTTATTTTCGTATAGTTGCTTTCAAAAACAATAATGTGCATGAAGTTAGAAAGACAAATTACAAATCCAGCCAAGTCATCTGTGACAAGGTCTGAACAGGCAGCATGGAATGAAGTTTATAATTTAAGAATTGAGGAATTGAAAGTGTTGGACAAACAAAACAGAACCCAGTATCAGCAACAACCTAGGATAAAATGAAACAAACCTGAAGCTGTAGATGGGGGTGGCGGCAAAAATGGAGCCGATGGAGGAGTTGGAGGAAATTTATTATTTTGAAAACTGAAAAATGAAAGAATAGTGGTCAGCATATGTCTAGATAAGTCAACCGACTCCGCTAGTATGGAAAATGATGTTACTAGCAACAAACCTGAGGGAAGTAAAAAGTTGAAAGGAGCCATTAACTGGGACAACTCCTGTTAATTGATTGTTTGAAAGATCATTGTATACCAAATGGCAAGAAGCCATATCATATTCTTGTAGTTAGTTTATACCAATTACAGCTAATCAAAAAAAGAAAAACTTTTATTATTCACCGAAAAGGAAAAATAAAGACCATGTCAACATGGTACTCACAGGATTTGAAGTGAATTGATATTAGTCAATGACATAGGAATAGTTCCAGACAAAGTGTTGTTGTTAAGCCGTCTGTCCTTGCAAATAAATACAAGGACCAGGCATCAGTGCATTCCAAACAAGCAAAATGGTATATCAATAAAATTCCTAGGGGATTGGCTGATCAACGCTAGTAGATGCACATAATACACGCAATATGTGATCAATCGGAGCCCTCTGTGCAATATAATCCAATTTCGGATGAAAGTTGATTTGCAATATACAAATAACTAGTAGATGCACATAATAAAGTAATATATGATTAAAACAAATAACGCTTCGGCGCTGTTTGCAATTATCCAGAGGATGCTATTTCTTAATCATTGATCAGTATGCATTTAATAATTTTACTAAGAAAAAGTAAAAATCAATGCATTCGTCACCAAAATACCTAGTCTTTATAGGTCCTACTGGACATTAATCTAGACATCTTGACAACAATGGGATTCCATCTTTGGGGTTGATTTCAATCAAACATGCAATATTCTGGACTGATTAACTTGAATAATTTGTTTTCATGCATTTTTCTAAATATACATAAAAAAATAAAAAATAAAAAAGACAGAGAAATCATGAGAGTATATTCTTTAACAAATCACTCAAAAACTAAAACAACGCCACTGTATCCATATTCCCATATATCAACGCATAAGCAGCCCACTTTTGAGAACACCTTGTAATAAGAAAACTGAAATACAATAAAAGTAAACTTAAACAGATGCACAATAAATTTAATAACAGAAGTAAAAAAGATAAAGGATATGTAATTCATACAGGAAACGTAATTTTTGAAGCCTGCCCAATGTGTCCGGGATGATACTACTCAAATTGTTCGAGAAAAGATCCAAGCTCACCAAACTCGTCAAATTGCCAAGCTCAATAGGAATTTTTCCTCTTATGTTGTTGCTATAAAGTTCCCTGTCAAGAAACATGTTAATAATATGCAAACCAAAGGGACAAACAAAAGATGATCATGTTATTAATGGGAGAAAAATTGTGCAGCAATATCAAGATAATGAATACAAGGGGAACAAAAAAGGGCTCAAGCCACCAACTATGAACCACCCATTTTTAAAAGATAACCTAACACAATAAGCTGCTAGGAACTGGAGTTTCTTTCTAGAGGTTAGTTGTTCCATCAAAGTAAAAGATGCACATGATCAAAATCAGTACAAAATATTAACCAAGAAGTCAAGACAAATGCTTTAAAGGGAAGTCAAACATATTTAGCTCTTTTGCAGATGAAGTTGTACATGACTCCAAAAGCTAGCATTGCCATAGACTAATTTATTTATTAATTATTTATTTTTTGCAGGGGGTTACAATGGAAGCCAATAAAACAAAACACTAAACATGAACTCACCTGGGAATGCCCCAATCAGAGGTATCCCAAATTATTCAAAGCACAAGAATATGCCCCTTTAGTCATTTGTTCCTTTTTAACCAGAAAAGATGAACAATATCATGTATATCATGTATTCTCCATTATCATGTGCATGTATGTGTGGAAGAGCATGTTTTCAAGGTTGTCTTTACACATAAAATGATGATATCCAGATAGCCAAATCGAGGGAATGAAACTAAGGTCTCAAGTGTGCTGAATACAGCACAATGAAAGATTCAACAGAGGATTCAAAAACTATGACATATAGAAAGTAATTGAGTTCCACCAAAGCAAAGTTAATTTTTTGTCAATGCACATTATTATTTCTCAACATCAGAAAATCGCCAAAAATAAAACTGAATTATATTTTTGTTAACAACTATAGAGAGGGAAGAAGTTTATGACCCAAAACTTGTTATGTTTGTTAGCTTATGCAATCAGTAATAAGAAGCTTACATTACACAATCAACTATTAAGACTTTCAAAGAGTTACCAAAGTTCAAGTTATTGAAACTTTAATACAAAGATATCATCTTTAAAGTAAATCCTCATGTTCTCAAAAGGTGGAGATATAGAATAAGACTTAACTTTATGAAACAAGTGATAAATTAGTATGAGCTAAAGTAGTACTGAAGTACGACTTACAAGTATTGCAAATTCAGAAGCTGTCCAAGTTCTAGAACCAATTGACCAGACAAGTTTGCATTTCCAAGATCACTGGGTATACACAAATGGAAGCAAAATTCATCATCAATCACACCACTGAAAATGGTAGTACGAAAGCAACAATAGTTTCAAATAGAAAGTTACATCACAAGAATTGTCACAGATGTTAACAACTTACACTCTTGTAACGCTGTTCTCACTATTGCACGTTACATGAAACCAAGTGCAAGGAGTGGCAAGTGTAGCATCCCAACTTTGCAGAACATTATTAGGATCAACTAAGTTGGTCTTCAGCATATTCAAGGCATCGCCTGTTCTTCACGAAAGAGGCAATCATCAGGTACTTGTCAAATGCATTAACATTGTCAGAGAATATTTCCAAGATATTCTATTCCTATATTTACCTATTTCCTTGCTTAAGTTATTAAATGATTAGCACTCTAGGTTTCATTGTTGATCAGTTTATGCAACCCTATAAATAGGCTACCACTTGTAATACGGATTTTTTGATCCTATAACTAAGAACATAAAACATACATATAATTGAGCTTATATATTTCCATATCTATTGCGAAACAAACATGGACAAGAGGGAATTATGTACACTAATCCTACACTAGTCTCATGAATTGTTAATCCCCCTCACTATTAATCCTACTAATCAAATAAGCTCCAAGGCTATTAGGGGAGCAGTTCAAAAAAGCAGAATACACCATTTAACTTCATTTTTTTTTTAATTTTTATATGAAATTAAAATTTAAAAATTGCACTAGTAAGGCAAAGTACTTGAATTTTTGAATGAATTCAATAAATAATTGAATAAATGAACTGTAAATTCCAATTTCAGTTATTTTTCGAATTTCACATAATGATTCCAAGCTCAGAACTGAATAAATCCATTAAAAGTTCAGTGATTGCTGAATTTGATTATGCAAAGTTAAATGCAAGCAGAACACAATTCAAGAAACACTGACTTAAATTGACGCGAAGAAAATGTCAAAAACAACATAAAATCGAAGCTAACAGAATCGGAACTCAACTTTGGCATTACCAAAGGCCTGAAATAACCAAGAAAAAACCAGAAATAGGCAAAGAAAAGCGGAAGATGAGATCGCCGAGACTGCACGATCCATTGCCACAACAATTGCTTCAGCTAAAAACCTATATATTCCTCATCAACTCTTAGAACTAGTAATTAAAAATTAAAAAAAAAAAACACTCAAAATCAAACTATTGGTTGAAGGAAATCTAAATCCCGTGGTAGCCAAACATTGGCACCTATCGGTTGATTGAAAATGGGAATCGGAAGGGGAAGTCGTCGATGGAGCTCACCGGAGGGTAACTGTTTGAGGCTGACTTTGACGCTGAAGGTATTTAAGGAAATTTTCTTTCACTTTCCTGGGAAAATTCTGAGAGAATGCCGGAGAGAGAGAGAGAGAGAGAGATTGAATTCAACGGTCCGTGGGGGGGGTGTTAGAGAGAGAGCCGTTTGTGGAGGGGTTTTAGTCAAAGCCTCTCTGTCTCACACCCTCACTCAATCTGAGTTCTCTACCCTACTCCTTGACTGGTATTTTCCTAGTAAACATTTGTAGTAATAGTTTTCTTTATTTTTATTTCTTGAATTGTTTTTTTTAAAAAAAAATTAAAAACGAACTTCCTTACATCTTATCTTACATATTGGGGGGAAGAAAGAAGTCATAAAAATTTACAAGTGCAAGAATTGTGAGTCATAAAAATTTTAAAGTATGGAATTCTTAAAATATAAGTTAATGAATGCAACTGTTTCGGAAGAAATTAATGAGTTGGTGGAAGAAATAGGTATTATCACATTTTATTAAAATAGTCATTTAAATTATTTCCAATTAAATAAGGCGTACCAAAACAAGAAAGAAAAAATGAAACGTTAAAATGAGCATTTTATTTCAGCTCATTCTATCATAGCAAATTTGCTCAAAAGAATTTGGGTATAGAGAATCCCGTGTCAGTTATAGTTATACTGTTAAAAAATTTAGACATAAGGCAAATGAAGTGTGTTATTTCGTCAACATAAGAGAGAGAGAGAGGGGGAGAGAGAGATGAAATGTCCTTTTTGCAACAATCGCTACATTTTCTATGTACATATCCATTTTTTCTAAAATCTTTTTTCTGGGTATTGACCCCTCTCTTCTTTAAAGATCGTTCCATAGGTAGATTCCGGCCTTTTTTGGGAAGTGAGTTAAAAGTCACTTCCCAGCTTTTAACTCATTTCCCTCTCTTACAAAAAAGTCAAAAAACAGTTTTTAACTATCTTTTCAAAACACCCCAATGAGCCTGGGCAAAGCGTTTTTAATCTCATTCGGATTCTTAGATTCGGCAAACATGAAATGTGTCCCATACTTGAAGAAGTACATCAAATTTTAGAGATATCCCTTTGCTTTCAATCTTACAAGCTATATTTAGATATCCCAAACACTCAATGATCAGTAATCACAAATGCTCAAGTGTTATAATTTGCTTTCAGACAAAAAACAAAATGTATTTATTGGTGTATAAAATATATACTAATTGGACACATTACATAGCCTTTCCAATCGTGTTTTTGATTATACCTAAAAATTCATAATCATCGTCATGTAAATCGAGCTAAAAAAAAAAACTAAAGAGGAGAAATCATATACACAGATGGTATATATCACATTTGAATAAAGAATGGGACTCCAAGAGACTTCTCTGTATGCCGAAAACAAAATCTATTTAAAAGATCGTCTGTGACGGGACAATTCTTCTAGAGGGAGGTTGGGAGTGGAGTCGGGAAGGTTGTTGACTTGGGCAATGATCCAATTGTTATTTTGGTGGAGGATATTAACGAACTCTTGCCAGAACATCTCCTCCTTTTGCCACTCTTCCCACCTCTCTGCCAACCCATCGCCTTCGAGCATTCTGACAACTACCGATATCTTGGGACGTTCCATTAGGGAGCTCAGCGTGCAGAGCAAAGCCACTTGGATAAGTTGCTTCACCTCATCTTCGACATAGTTTCCCTGCATATCTGCATTGACTAGTGTTTCCACCTTCCTGTCTTTTAGAAGTCCTTTCACCTAAATTTTTTGGGTATTTGAATCACAGATGTCATATGATAGGTTATGAAATGATCTTATTAATAAGGAAGAGCACCATCTATCAACTACTTTCCAAATTAGAGAAAGTGGCATAATAGTAAAAGAAAATATCACAAAATCGAACATTTGAAAACTGATAATAAAAATGAAACAGAAAGACAAAGGTGGCTTATGATTTTCAATTTTGATTCAAAATTTCCTTTTCTTTGTCCATATTGAAATGTGTGAAAACTTCCATCCTAAAATTTCAATATAAAATTTATTGTGTCCAAGGTAAAGACTATAGTATTATGGTGTATTTTTCTTTTCAAGGTTCAATACTATGAAGTAAAAAATGACTAAATTCTAAGTTTCCTAGCATTTGAAAACATGATGGTCATTTAAGATTGTGATACTGTAAGAATTAGCAAATCACAATGATGACAAATTTCTTCAATGTAACTGTTGAATGGGCTTTACTTTAAAATGCGTTGAGTGAGACATTTTTTCTTTCTGTTTTTTTGTATACCATCATGAACATTACTCGACTCATTTTGAATTATATAAGCAACAGAATAACAATTCCATTCATGTGCTTCTGACAAACCTTATAGCCAGCAAATTGTAAGCAGATTTTTTACAGAAGGGCTTTTAAGATGAACTCAAAGAATGGTATGAAAACAGCCAACTCAAGTATCCTAGTTACATAATGAAAACAGATCGTATGAGAGAAATAAATGCTTACCCAATCAAGAAACATAACATTGTCGTCATTGGCAAGTCGAGCAAGATCAAAAGCCTCTGTCCAATAATGAGCTCCAGAAGCATGACTCCATACCCAAAAACATTTGTTTTCTCTGAAGACTTTCCAGTGGAGAGGTACTCGGGAGCAATATGCCCAATTGTAACACGTACAACAGTGGTAACATGTGTATCCTTGTAATCCATAAGTTTCGCTAACTCAAAGTCTCCAACAACTGCTTCGAATTCTTCGTCCAACAATATATTTGGAACTTTGACATCACGGTGAATTATCTTTGGGTCACAATGATTGTGCAAACATGCAAGGCCTCTTGCGGATCCCAATGCAATTTGCTTCCTTTTGAGCCAATCAAGTGGGGGTTGTGAATCAGGTCGCTCTACAACAATGAAGCAATGAGATCATGGAAACATTGTAGAGATTAAGCAGGGTTGAGAATATTGATTTTAAAATTTTCAACATTTGCTCAAAAACTTTGGGTCAACTACAATTTTTTAACTATCAGCACCTAAAAGTACAGTATATGTGAGAAATCTGAAAAAATCAAAATCAAAAAAAAAAATCATTAATGACAAAAAAATATGAAAATTAAACTTTATTTTTAATTCCCAGTTTTCTTTTGCCTTTAGTGTTTTTTCCTCTTCATATTTTAGTCTTTTTTCTTTTCTTTTATTTTTAAACTTTTTAGATGCATCAAAAAAGTATTTAAATAAAAAACTAAAATATGACAATTTTCTCTCATTTTCTAAAAATTGAGTTTTTTATTTTTAGTGAATTTTTTTAATATTTTAAGCAAATTTTGTACTTTTTAGATACACTAATGTAAATACAATTAAAAAGTATAATACTTGTGAATTTTTTTAAAAAAAAATTCACTTAATACAAAAATACAAAAAAATATGAAAATTTAGTACATTTTCGTATTCTTATGTATTTATTGATTTTTAAATTTTTTGTTTAACAAATATTTTACTTTTTAGGTATATCTAGGTTAGGTGCATCTAAAAAGTAAAAAAAAAAATTTAAATATTAAAAAAATTCACTAAAAACAAAAAAATACGAAAAATAAAAATTTCTTCAGAAAATTGAAACCAAAAAGGGTTTCAGAAAACCGTTTTTGAAAAATCAAACTAAACAAGCCTTTTCTCTTGGTGCCAAATTGGGAATTAGAATAGAAATAAAGCTCAAATCTACTAAAAGTTCTAATAAATATAATACTTGACAAATAATTAAGAAAGGGAAGCATATGAAGATGCATGCAAGTAGTACCTCTTAAACATGAGGCAACACTTCCATTAGACATAAAGGCCCCGTTTGTTTTCAGAGATAGAATGGAGGGGATTGATAGTGAGGGGATTAATAGTGAGAAATTGTTAAATTATTTTTATATAAAATAATAAAACAAATAAAAAAATATAAAAATTAAACATTAATATTTAAAAAAAAATTCCCAATATATAAAAAATAAAAAAATTTCTAATCCCCTCACTATTTTTCTAATACCATCTCTACCTCCTCACTATGAATCCCCCTTCCAAGGGTATTAGTAATAGCAAGGTATTAGTAGTCCCAAGGCCATCTCTCAAAACAAACAAGGTATTAGTAGTCCCAATCCCCTTCCTATAACCCCAAACAAACGGGGCAAAAGGGATAAACAAGCAATCGTTCTGTCGGTGTCACGCAAAAGCCATGCAAATGCAGTAAATTTTGATGGACGGTCATGCTGATGATTTCCACTTCTGTTTGGTCTGAGTGCATTCCTCTTTTAAAGCATTTTCAACTTGGTCCATTAACAGGTACATCAAAGAAGCTATCCTCTAGTTTCCTTCGCCGCCACCAAGCAACAAGGCCAGCCCTAAGTTATTATTGGCTTAAGGTGAATTTTTTAAAATGGGCCGTTCATATATCATTACCCAAAAAAAAAAAATATTTGTTTGGATAAAACAAAAAGGATAAAAAATTATTTCTATTGCATTACAATTTAACAAAATTTAGATGACAAATATATATATCCATATATAAAATAGTTGAATTTCAATTAGTTGAATCGAATCGAATCTTTATTTTTTAGCTTACCAATGCTATAATAACTAAAATTAATTGGGGCTAAGGATGAGAATTCTCGACACAACTCAAGCAATATATAAAATGAGCAAGTTAAGGTTGACTATTTTTTAACATGAATCCTAGCATGACACTACTCAATAACATGAATTATTAGTTATATATTTTAATGTTCACTAAGGGATGCCATGACATTTTTTTGATCTTTTATTTAACTCCATCTAATTGAATAAAAAAGTATGTAAAATAATAATTAAGACTAATATTTTTTTTTCATTTAAGATATGTATTTTTTTGTTACCTATTTTAGAGTCAATCTAGTAAAAAATATATAGTAATAAGGTACAATTTTTTAAGGGGATTTTTTTAAGGTCCCTAGTATTTAGATTTTATAGCATAAAGGACATCTAATATTTTCATAATGTCTAAGGTCCCTCAAATCAAACCAGAGAAAATTCAATTTAGAGAAATTCTCTAGTCCAAACCAGAGAAAATTCAATCCAGAAAAACTCTCTAGCCCAAACCAGAGAAAATTCAATCTAAACTAGAGAAATTCTCTAGTCTAAACCAGAGAAAATTCAATCCATAGAAATTCTCTGGTCCAAACCAGAAAAAATTCAATCCGAACCAAAGAAATTCTCTTTGATTTACTTATAATTTTCTCTGATTTATTTACCAAAGAATTTCTCTAGTCCAAACCAGAGAAATTCAATCCAAACTAGAGAATTAACTCTCTTTTCTTTTCTTTTCTCGACAACCAAACAGATGTAAATTGAGCAAGACAAAACAAACTTACGATGGTCTGATGAAGATGAGCAGATCCAATGGTCAGAAGGCGGTCAAGGCGAGACCTAGTGATGGTAATTGCAGAGTCTGGTGGTGGTATAATTGGGTTTTCGTCTGATGATTCGGCCATTGTCGCCATTTTTGAGAGCTTCAATTTGAAATATATGTATATATATATATATATATAGAGAGAGAGAAATAAACTCGGGAGTCTTCAATTTCTTCAGCGGTCAACCTCCTCCTCCTCATCATCATCATCATCAAACACCATCGGAGGAAAACACCATTGAGAGATAGGAGTATGATTAACCATGTAAAATTTCACAAATACCCTTTACATTATTATTAAATTGGAGATTTTTTTTAAGGTCTCTAGTATTAAGATTTTATAGCATAAAGGACATCTAATATTTTCATAAAGTCTAAGGTCCCTCAAATTAATTTAAAGAAAATTCAATCCAGTTTCAAACCAGAGAAATTCTCTTTGATTTACTTATAATTTTCTCTGATTTATTTACCAAAGAATTTCTCTAGTCCAAACCAGAGAAATTCAATCCAAACTAGAGAATTAACTCTCTTTTCTTTTCTTTTCTCGACAACCAAACAGATGTAAATTGAGCAAGACAAAACAAACTTACGATGGTCTGATGAAGATGAGCAGATCCAATGGTCAGAAGGCGGTCAAGGCGAGACCTAGTGATGGTAATTGCAGAGTCTGGTGGTGGTATAATTGGGTTTTCGTCTGATGATTCGGCCATTGTCGCCATTTTTGAGAGCTTCAATTTGAAATATATGTATATATATATAGAGAGAGAGACAGAGAGAAATAAACTCGGGAGTCTTCAATTTCTTCAGCGGTCAACCTCCTCCTCCTCATCATCATCATCATCAAACACCATCGGAGGAGTCTTCAGTTTCTTCAGCAACGTCGTTAGCATCATCATGATCACCAGCGAGTTCACTGGTAGATGGCTGAGAAACACGGCAGAGAAGATTGAGGAGGCGGTGATGGTTGGCGGTACCAAGAGAAAGAGAATGGAAGTGGTTGAAGAAAGAGAAGTGAGGAGGAGATGGAAAGAGATAGAAGGGAGGAGCCCCGAATATGGGAGAGAAGAAAGAGAGAGTTTTACAGAGAGAAGATATGCAAAGGTCGAGAAGAGCGAGAGCGGGAGTGGACTGGTTCTGGGTTTGTGTGTTGATTCGAACAGATAGAAAGAGATTTAATGTGAGAGAATCAAATTTCTCTGTGATATATAGGTGTATGATTGAGGGACTTTAGATATCATAAAATAATATTGTGGATCTCTTCCATTACTAAAAATGGAAGAGGGACCTTAGACTAATTTTTCTTTTCTTTTTTTAATTAGAAAAATGCAATTGAATTAAAATCAAACATTCTATGAATAATTTCATTAGTAAAAATAAATTTTGTAAAATTCAACTTATGGGAAATATTTTAATCTCTCCATACACTTGCTAAGTTAGTTTTAACTAAAAGTGAAAGTTTTCACATTAAACATCAATTGGACACGAATCAAAATAACACCATACGATAACATGAAAATAAATGAATTGAGCTAATATTGAAGTAATTATGAAATAACATGATATGATACACTCCAATAGTTGGGGGTCCTAAATTTTGTTCAAAATTGGGAACCCGAGGCGACCGCCTTAGTTGCCTCACCTTAGGGCAAGGCCGGCCAAGCAAGTGCGAGAAACAACAGGGCAGCACCAGCAACAACTCCTCCAACAATGGCTCCAGTGGCACTGCTACCTATTAGAATAAGATTTGCAATCAGAAATTAGTAAGTTCACTCTTATTGTGCATTCCCTTCACAATTGAAAATTTTGATAGGAAGACAAATCGATGGAATAAAATAATGACATGGTTTGGACAATCCAGGTGCAGAGTCTAGTGGAAAAATTAGATTCTAACCTTAGCAACATATCATAAATCGCTAATCTAAAGAAAGCTGAAAATTGAACCATACTCGAACAAATAAAAAAGATCAAAGGATGGAGGTTTCCCTAGGAAAATAAGTATGGGTTGTGCATCATAAACTATGAAGCACGAATACTTCAAAAAGGAGACGTATCCACATCAAATACTTATCAAATACCGATACTCCTTGGATACTTGCAGATATGTATCGAATACTTCTTAATTAATTTTTTTTATTAATTTTAGAGTATTGGATACTTAATTTTGAAGTATCGGATACTCGAAGTCACATATTATTTCTAATACCTTGTTTAGTTCTTTGATGAGAGGAATATAATGAGAGTTAAAGTAATAAAATTTATCAAATTGATGTATTCTTATTGTCCCTCTCACTCTCTCATTTTTCTCTGCTCTCATTTTTTTTTTGATGTTGGCATGTAAGGATGATGTTTAATTTACATTTACTTTTGTTTTTGGTTTTGGATATTTTATGAATGTTTGAAGACTCTTAACTTAATAGGAATCCCTCTCTTTATTTATTAATGTACTTGAGGTTTTATTTTCATACATATTACATTATTAAAATTATAAAAAATAATTTTTTTTACAAACGTATCCCCGCCATACCCGTATCTTACTTTTTTAAATTTTGGTATATTGCCGTATCCATATTCCCGTATCGCTGTATCCCGTATCCATGCTTCCTAGATCATAAATATGTGGGGAAACTAAAACCTATACATACTGGTTGAGGAATTGACCTGACATACAATTTATTTTGGTATAGTTGCTTTCAAAAGCAATAATGTGCATAAAGTTAGAAAGATAATTACAAATCCAGCCAAGTCATCTGTGACAAGGTCTGAACAGGCAGCATGGAACAAAGTTTATAATTAAAGAATTGAGGAATTGAAAGTGTTCGACAAACAGAACAGAACCCAATATCAGCAACAACCTAGGACAAAACGAAACAAACCTGAAGCAATAGATGGGAGTGGCAGCGAAAATGGAGGCGGTAGAAGAGTTGGAGAAATTATTAAATTATTATTTCGAAAACTGAAAAATGAAAGAATAGTGGTCAGCATATGTCCAAATGAGTCACTTGACTCCGCTAGTATGAAAAATGATGTTACCAGCAACAAACCTGCTGGAAGTAAAAAGTTGAAAGGAGCCATTAACTGGGACAACTCCTGTTAAGTGATTGTTTGAAAGATCACTATATACCAAATGGCAAGAAACCATATCATATTCTTGTAGTTAGTTTATGCAAATTAATGCTAATAAAAAAAAAGAAACAAAAAAAGAAAAACCTTTATTATTCACCAAAAAGGAAAAATAAAGAACACATCAACTTGGTACTCACAGGACTTGAAGTGAATTGATAGTAGTCAATGACATAGGAATAGTTCCAGACAAATTGTTGTTGTTAAGCCGTCTATCCTTGCAAATAAATATAAGGACCAGGCATCAGTACATTCCAAACAATCAAAATGGTATATCAATAAAATTCCTAGGGACATGGCTGATCAATGCTAGTAGATGCACATAATACATGCAATATGTGATCAATCAGAGCCCTCTGTGCAATGTAATCCAATTTCGGATGAAAATTGATCTGCAATGTACAGACAACTAATAGATGCACATAATAAAGTAACATATGATTAAAACAAATAGCCCTTCGGCACTATTTGCCACTATCAAGAGGATGTTATTTCTTAATCATTGATCAGTATGCATTTTAATAATTTTACTAAGAAAAAGTAAAAGTCAGTGCATTTATCACCAAAATACCTAGTCTTTATAGGCCCTACTGTATATTAATCTAGACATCTTGACAACAATGGGATTTCCATCTTTGGGGTTGATTTCAATCAAACATGCAATATCCTAGACTAAATAACATGAATAATTTGTTTTAATGCATTTTTCTAAATATACAGAAAAAAATAAAAATAAAAATGATAGAGAAATCATGAGAGTATATTCTTTAAGAAATCACTAAAAAACCCACTTTTGAGAAAACCTTGTAATAAGAAAACTGAAATACAATAAAAGTAAACTTAAACAGGTGCACAATAAATTTAATAACATAAGTAAAAAATATGAAGGATATGTAATTCTTACAGGAAACGTAATTTCTGAAGCCTGCCCAATGTGTCCGGGATGATACCACTCAAATTGTTCAAGTAAAGATCCAAGCTCACCAAACTTGTCAAATTGCCAAGCTCAATAGGAATTCTTCCACTTATGTTGTTGCTAAAAAGTTCCCTGTCAAGAAACATGTTAATAATACGCCAACCAAGGGGACAAACAAAAGATGATCATGTTATTAATGGGAGAAAAATTGTGCAGCAATATCAAGATAATGAATACAAGGGGAACAGAAAAGGGCTCAAGCCACCAACTACGAGCCACCCATTTTTAAAAGATAACCTAACCTAACACAATAAGCTGCTAGGAAACTGGAGTTTCTTTCTAGAGGTTAGTTGTTTCATCAAAGTAAAAGATGCACATGATCACAATCAGTACAAAATATTAACCAAGAAGTCAAGACAAATGCTTCAAAGGGAAGTCAAAACATATTTAGCTCTTTTGCAGATGAAGTTGTACATGACTCCAAAAGCTAACATTGCAATAGACTGATTTATTTATTTATTTTTGCAGGGGGTTACAACGGCAGCCAATAAAACAAAACACTAAACATGAACTCACCTGGGAATGCCCCAATCAGAGGTATCCCAAATCATTCAAAGCACAAGAATATGCCCCTTTAGTCATTTGTTCGTTTTAAACCAGAAAAGCTGAACAATATCATGTATTCTCCATTATCGTGTGCATGTATGTGTGGAAGAGCATGTTTTCAAGGTTGTCTTTATACATAAAATGATGATATCCAAATAGCCAAATCGAGGGAATGAAACTAAGGTCTCAAGTGTGTTGAATACAGCACAACGAATGATTCAACAGAGGATTGTCTGATGATTCGGCCATTGTCGCCATTTTTGAGAGCTTCAATTTGAAATATATGTATATATATATAGAGAGAGAGACAGAGAGAAATAAACTCGGGAGTCTTCAATTTCTTCAGCGGTCAACCTCCTCCTCCTCATCATCATCATCATCAAACACCATCGGAGGAGTCTTCAGTTTCTTCAGCAACGTCGTTAGCATCATCATGATCACCAGCGAGTTCACTGGTAGATGGCTGAGAAACACGGCAGAGAAGATTGAGGAGGCGGTGATGGTTGGCGGTACCAAGAGAAAGAGAATGGAAGTGGTTGAAGAAAGAGAAGTGAGGAGGAGATGGAAGGAGATAGAAGGGAGGAGCCCCGAATATGGGAGAGAAGAAAGAGAGAGTTTTACAGAGAGAAGATATGCAAAGGTCGAGAAGAGCGAGAGCGGGAGTGGACTGGTTCTGGGTTTGTGTGTTGATTCGAACAAATAGAAAGAGATTTAATGTGAGAAAATCAAATTTCTCTGTGATATATAGGTGTATGATTGAGGGACTTTAGATATCATAAAATAATATTATGGATCTCTTCCATTACTAAAAATGGAAGAGGGACCTTAGACTAATTTTTCTTTTCTTTTTTTAATTAGAAAAATGCAATTGAATTAAAATCAAACATTCTATGAATAATTTCATTAGTAAAAATAAATTTTGTAAAATTCAACTTATGGGAAATATTTTAATCTCTCCATACACTTGCTAAGTTAGTTTTAACTAAAAGTGAAAGTTTTCACATTAAACATCAATTGGACACGAATCAAAATAACACCATACGATAACATGAAAATAAATGAATTGAGCTAATATTGAAGTAATTATGAAATAACATGATATGATACACTCCAATAGTTGGGGGTCCTAAATTTTGTTCAAAATTGGGAACCCGAGGCGACCGCCTTAGTTGCCTCACCTTAGGGCAAGGCCGGCCAAGCAAGTGCGAGAAACAACAGGGCAGCACCAGCAACAACTCCTCCAACAATGGCTCCAGTGGCACTGCTACCTATTAGAATAAGATTTGCAATCAGAAATTAGTAAGTTCACTCTTATTGTGCATTCCCTTCACAATTGAAAATTTTGATAGGAAGACAAATCGATGGAATAAAATAATGACATGGTTTGGACAATCCAGGTGCAGAGTCTAGTGGAAAAATTAGATTCTAACCTTAGCAACATATCATAAATCGCTAATCTAAAGAAAGCTGAAAATTGAACCATACTCGGACAAATAAAAAAGATCAAAGGATGGAGGTTTCCCTAGGAAAATAAGTATGGGTTGTGCATCATAAACTATGAAGCACGAATACTTCAAAAAGGAGACGTATCCACATCAAATACTTATCAAATACCGATACTCCTTGGATACTTGCAGATATGTATCGAATACTTCTTAATTAATTTTTTTTATTAATTTTAGAGTATTGGATACTTAATTTTGAAGTATCGGATACTCAAAGTCACATATTATTTCTAATACCTTGTTTAGTTCTTTGATGAGAGGAATATAATGAGAGTTAAAGTAATAAAATTTATCAAATTGATGAATTCTTATTGTCCCTCTCACTCTCTCATATTTCTCTGCTCTCATTTTTTTTTTTTGATGTTGGCATGTAAGGATGATGTTTAATTTACATTTACTTTTGTTTTTGGTTTTGGATATTTTATGAATGTTTGAAGACTCTTAACTTAATAGGAATCCCTCTCTTTATTTATTAATGTACTTGAGGTTTTATTTTCATACATATTACATTATTAAAATTATAAAAAATAATTTTTTTTACAAACGTATCCCCGCCGTACCCGTATCTTACTTTTTTAAATTTTGGTATATTGCCGTATCCATATTCCCGTATCGCTGTATCCCGTATCCATGCTTCCTAGATCATAAATATGTGGGGAAACTAAAACCTATACATACTGGTTGAGGAATTGACCTGACATACAATTTATTTTGGTATAGTTGCTTTCAAAAGCAATAATGTGCATAAAGTTAGAAAGATAATTACAAATCCAGCCAAGTCATCTGTGACAAGGTCTGAACAGGCAGCATGGAACAAAGTTTATAATTAAAGAATTGAGGAATTGAAAGTGTTCGACAAACAGAACAGAACCCAATATCAGCAACAACCTAGGACAAAACGAAACAAACCTGAAGCAATAGATGGAAGTGGCAGCGAAAATGGAGGCGGTAGAAGAGTTGGAGAAATTATTAAATTATTATTTCGAAAACTGAAAAATGAAAGAATAGTGGTCAGCATATGTCCAAATGAGTCACTTGACTCCGCTAGTATGAAAAATGATGTTACCAGCAACAAACCTGCTGGAAGTAAAAAGTTGAAAGGAGCCATTAACTGGGACAACTCCTGTTAAGTGATTGTTTGAAAGATCACTATATACCAAATGGCAAGAAACCATATCATATTCTTGTAGTTAGTTTATGCAAATTAATGCTAATAAAAAAAAAGAAACAAAAAAAGAAAAACCTTTATTATTCACCAAAAAGGAAAAATAAAGAACACATCAACTTGGTACTCACAGGACTTGAAGTGAATTAATAGTAGTCAATGACATAGGAATAGTTCCAGACAAATTGTTGTTGTTAAGCCGTCTATCCTTGCAAATAAATATAAGGACCGGGCATCAGTACATTCCAAACAATCAAAATGGTATATCAATAAAATTCCTAGGGACATGGCTGATCAATGCTAGTAGATGCACATAATACATGCAATATGTGATCAATCAGAGCCCTCTGTGCAATGTAATCCAATTTCGGATGAAAATTGATCTGCAATGTACAGACAACTAATAGATGCACATAATAAAGTAACATATGATTAAAACAAATAGCCCTTCGGCACTATTTGCCACTATCAAGAGGATGTTATTTCTTAATCATTGATCAGTATGCATTTTAATAATTTTACTAAGAAAAAGTAAAAGTCAGTGCATTTATCACCAAAATACCTAGTCTTTATAGGCCCTACTGTATATTAATCTAGACATCTTGACAACAATGGGATTTCCATCTTTGGGGTTGATTTCAATCAAACATGCAATATCCTAGACTAAATAACTTGAATAATTTGTTTTAATGCATTTTTCTAAATATACAGAAAAAAAATAAAAATAAAAATGACAGAGAAATCATGAGAGTATTTTAAGAAATCACTAAAAAACTAAAACAAAGCCACTGTATCCATATTCCCATATATCAACGCATAAGCAACCCACTTTTGAGAAAACCTTGTAATAAGAAAACTGAAATACAATAAAAGTAAACTTAAACAGGTGCCCAATAAATTTAATAACATAAGTAAAAAATATGAAGGATATGTAATTCTTACAGGAAACGTAATTTCTGAAGCCTGCCCAATGTGTCCGGGATGATACCACTCAAATTGTTCAAGTAAAGATCCAAGCTCACCAAACTTGTCAAATTGCCAAGCTCAATAGGAATTCTTCCACTTATGTTGTTGCTAAAAAGTTCCCTGTCAAGAAACATGTTAATAATACGCCAACCAAGGGGACAAACAAAAGATGATCATGTTATTAATGGGAGAAAAATTGTGCAGCAATATCAAGATAATGAATACAAGGGGAACAGAAAAGGGCTCAAGCCACCAACTACGAGCCACCCATTTTTAAAAGATAACCTAACCTAACACAATAAGCTGCTAGGAAACTGGAGTTTCTTTCTAGAGGTTAGTTGTTTCATCAAAGTAAAAGATGCACATGATCACAATCAGTACAAAATATTAACCAAGAAGTCAAGACAAATGCTTTAAAGGGAAGTCAAAACATATTTAGCTCTTTTGCAGATGAAGTTGTACATGACTCCAAAAGCTAACATTGCAATAGACTAATTTATTTATTTATTTTTGCAGGGGGTTACAACGGCAGCCAATAAAACAAAACACTAAACATGAACTCACCTGGGAATGCCCCAATCAGAGGTATCCCAAATCATTCAAAGCACAAGAATATGCCCCTTTAGTCATTTGTTCCTTTTAAACCAGAAAAGCTGAACGATATCATGTATTCTCCATTATCGTGTGCATGTATGTGTGGAAGAGCATGTTTTCAAGGTTGTCTTTATACGTAAAATGATGATATCCAAATAGCCAAATCGAGGGAATGAAACTAAGGACTCAAGTGTGTTGAATACAGCACAACGAATGATTCAACAGAGGATTCAAAAACTACGACATATAGAAAGTAATTGAGTTCCACCAAAGCAAAGTTAATTTTTTGTCAATGCACATTATTATTTCTCAACATCAGAATGTCGCAAAAAATAAAACTGAAGTATATTTTTGTTAACAGCTATAGAGAGGGAAGAAGTTTATTACCCAAAACTTGTTACGTTTATTATCTTATGCAATCAGTAATAAGAAGCTTACATTACATAATCAACTATTAAGACTTTCAAAGAGTTACCAAAGTTCAAGTTATTGAAACTTTAATACAAAGATATCATCTTTAAAGTAAATCCTTATGTTCTCAAAAGGTAGAGATATAGAATAAGACTTAACTTTATGAAACAAGTGATAAATTAGTATGAGCTAAAGTAGTATTGAAGTACGACTTACAAGTACTGCAAATTCAGAAGCTGTCCAAGTTCTGGAACCAGTTGACCAGACAAGTTTGCATTTCCAAGATCACTAGGTGTTCACAAATGGAAGCAAAATTCATCATCAATCACACCACTGAAAATGGTAGTACGAAAATAACAATAGTTTCAAAAAGCAAGTTATATCACAAGAATTGCCACAGATGTTGGCAACTTACACTCTTGTAACGCTGTTCCCACTGTTGCACGTTACGTTAAACCAAGTGCAGGGATTGACTTGTGTAGCATCCCAATTTTGCAGAAAATTATTAGGGTCAGCTAAGTTGGTCTTCAGCGCATTCAAGGCATCGCCTGTTCTTCTTGAAAGAGGCAATCATCAGGTACTTGTCAAATGCATTAACATTGTTAGAGAATATTTCCAAAATATTCTATTCCTATATTTATCTATTTCCTCAAGTTATTAAATGATTAGCACTCTAGGTTTCTTCATTGATCAGTCTATGCAACCCTATAAATAGGCCACTTGTAATAGTTATATCAATCTGAATACAATATTTCACTTTCACCGTAATTCTAACAAACATCATCAACCAAAACAAATCCCAAGAGGAGGTAAGCTACTAAATTGTCTATCAAACTAACACTCATACCATAACATAAAGATTTTCAAATTCTACAACTTAATTCAAAGTTACTAAATACGACATCAAGGCCTTGTTTGATTAGCAGATTATAACATAAGATTAGGAATATTAATTCATGGCACTCACATTCCATTGCGTGGTTTCCAATTTTATTATTCAAATTAGATTTCAGTGGTCATTCTATCCAATAAAATTGATGGATTTTTTAATCCTACAACTAATAACATAAAACATACATATAATTGAGATTATATATTTCCACATCTATTGCGAAACAAACATGGACAAGAGGGAATTATGTACCTCACTAATCCAACTGGTAACTAATCCTACACTAATCTCATGAATTGTTAATGTTGGGTATACCTCCTATTGGAGTGTGGGACCCAATTAATTTATTAAAATATTTAATTTGGTTTGGTATTGGTTATGATATATTTTTATATATTATATCTAATTTTTTGGAGGCCCAATGGATATTTCATAATATGTTTGGTAATAACTAGGGTTTTGATAAAAAGCCCAAAAAGTATTGTTTTTGTTTTTTTCCCAGGTGAAGGCAGAGGCTGTTTGGTGTGTGTGTGCACGCGCGTGCGCTGGGTGATCATCTTCGGTGGGGTTATCATCATTGTGGACAAGCATAGTGCTGTTGTTTTGATTCGGTGGGTTTGGCTTGGTAGTGTAGTAGAAATTGTTCTTGGTTCGTTGCTACTGTTGTTTCTGATTCGAAGTTGATTTGGGTTATTATTTTGGGTTATTATTTTGGGTTATTATTTTGGGTCTTCTACAACTCTGTTTCGAAAACTTTTGTTCATCTATTTGGTAAGATCTTTCCTCTTATTTATTTGTGCTTATTTAGAATTCACCTAAGAGTGTTTTGTAAGACCATTCATGTCTCGTTTGTAATCATTTGAAAACTTTTTGGTTGATAGTGGAATCGGATTTCGAACCCATAGACGTACCTCACATTGAGGGAACCACGTAAAAATTCTTTTGTCACTGTTGATTTAATTTTTCTGCATTTGTTTTTATTTCCATTGATTGATTTACTTGTAGGAAATCATCTATTTTTCCTAACAACTGGTATCAGAACTTACAGTTTATTTGGGTTTATTTATTTGTGTAAATCAATGGAGGGGAATGTGGGTTGTATGTCTAGCTTCAATGGAAGCAATTTGGTATCTTGGAAAACTAAAATGGACGATCTATTATTTTGCAAAGATTTCTATGGGCCTATTGAGGGTGATAGTGGCAAACCTGAGAATATAAAAGATGATGATTGGAAGAGGCTTAATCAAAAAGCTGTTGGTGTTATCCGTCAATAGATTGATGACAGTGTGTTTCATCATGTTGCTACTAAAACTTCGACACATGATTTATGGAAAAAATTAGGTCTTTATAATAGAAAATCAGCCACAAATAAAACTTTTCTATTTCGAAAGTTGGTTAATTTAAAATATAAAAATGGCAGCCACATTCCTGAACATTTGAATGAAATAAAGAGTATTGTTAACCAACTTGCTTTTTTGAAAATTGTTTTTAATGATGAATTACAGGCTTTGATGCTAAGTTCTTTGCCCGAAAGTTGGGAGACTTTGGTTGTGACGGTTAGTAATTCGGCGCCCGATGGAGTTGTCACAATGAGCTAAGTCACAATGAGCTAAGTCACTAGTAACTTGTTGAATGAAGAAACTAGAAGAAAATCAGCGGGTTTTTCTCATTTAGAGGCATTTGTTGTGAGAGGTCGAAGCAAAACAAAGGAGAGGAGTAAGAAAAATGGCAGCTACATTCCTGAACATTTGAATGAAATAAAGAGTATTGTTAACCAACTTGCTTTTTTGAAAATTGTTTTTAATGATGAGTTACATGCTTTGATGCTACTTAGTTCTTTGCCCGAAAGTTGGGAGACTTTGGTTGTGACGGTTAGTAATTCGGCGCCCGATGGAGTTGTCACAATGAGCTAAGTCACAATGAGTTAAGTCACTAGTAACTTGTTGAATGAAGAAACTAGAAGAAAATCAGCGAATTCTTCTCATTTAAAGGCATTTGTTGTGAGAGGTCGAAGCAAAACAAAGGAGAGGAGTAAGGCTCCTCATGGTCGTGATCAAAGCCGTGACAAATCAATAGATGGTTTTTTTTTCAAAGAAAGATATTAAGTGTCATTATTGCCATGAGAAAGGACACATGAAGCGGGAATGAATGCCGAAAGCTCAAGAACAAAGAGAAAAGGCATGACAAAAGTGTGGATAAGAAGCAAGAAGATACAATGGCGGTTACTACTGATGATCTCATGGTTGTTTGTGAAGATGATTGTGTCAATTTTGTGGGCCAAGAGAGCAATTGGGTAATTGATTCCGATACTTCTTTTCATGTGACTGTAACCTAAAAGCTTTTCTGTATATTCAATCGTGCTAATACAAAGATTACAACCAATATATATAACAATCCTAACCCTAATCTGAAATAGGAAATACAATCAATCGAATATTCACAATCAATCTAAAATACGTTTCCATAATTAACATAATATTCTCACCCCCACTCAAACTCAAGGTGTTTTAGCAGCAAACACTGAGAGTTTGCCAAAAAGAAGCTAAAAGCGAGCACTGGTGTGAGTCTTCGTAAAGAAGTCAGCAAGTTGTAATGCCGAAGAGACAAAAGGAAGCGAAATGGAGCCAGACTGCAGATGCTGATGTACAAAATGACAATAAATCTCAATGTGTTTTGTTCGCTGATGGAAGACAATGTTATGCGCAATCTGAATAGCAAGCGATTGTCACAGTAAAGGGAGGTTGGAGAAGACTGAGGGACACGCAACTCGGTCAAGAGACAACAAAGCCAAACAATCTCAGTAGTGGCATGAGCCATAGCACGGTACTTAGCCTCGGCAGTGGAACGCGCAACAACAATCTATTTCTTTACCTTCCATGAGATCAAGAATCACGAAGGAACATGCAGAAGCCAGAAGTGAACTTGCGATCAATGACATCACTAGCCCAATCAGAATCAGCATAAGCCCCCAAGTCCAAAGAAGAAGTAGAAGCCAATAGTAAACCTTGAAATATAGTGCCTCAGGACGAGTAATCGTCAGATAGACTAAGCATCCCACGAGCTCTCGATATAAAGTAAGATCATCCAGAAGAATACCATCAGTAGTGTTGAGCTTTACATTAAACTCAATGGAGGTATCAGAAATCTTAGTGTCAGTAAGACCAGCAAGATGAATAACCTCTTTGGCATACTTGGCTTGAGATAGAAAGTAGCCCTTGGGAATACCAAGAAAATACCACAATTGGCCTAGATTCTTCATTTCGAAGGTGCAGAAAAGATGCTGCTTGACCTAAAATATAGCAGAAGAGTTAGAACCAGTGATGATCATATCATCCATATATAGTAATAATGTAACAAATCCAGCAGAGGTGTGGATGAGAAATAAAGCAGAGTCCTGGGCACAAGAATGAAACCCAAGCTCAGTAACAGAAGTTTGAAAGCAATCATACCAAGTACGAGGAGACTGTTTCAGACCATACAGAGCACGCCGAAGGCGACAAACCTATCTAGAGGAATGGTAAAGGCCGGGGGGAGGTCGCATGTAAACCTCTTCTGTGAGATGGCTATTAAGAAAAACATTCTTAACATCCATCTGATAAAGAGGCCAAGAACGAACAACAGCAAAAGAGATCAAAGTACGAACAGTAGTCATCTTGGCAACAAGAGCAAAGGTCTCTTCATAATCAATACCATGCTCCTGTGAGAAACCTTTGGCAACCAAACGAGCTTTATAGCGCTCAAGAGATCAATCAAAATGAGTCTTGACTTTGTAGACCCATTTGCAACCAACCAGATTCTTACCAGCAGGAAAAGGAACCAAATCTCAAGTACTAGTTTTCTGTAAAGTAGACAACTCATCCTCCATAGCTTAAACCCAATAAGGATCCTGACAAGCCTTCTTGTAAGACTGAGGTTCTGAAAAAGAATGAATAGCAGACAAAAAAGTACGATAGGAAGCAAAAAAACATGTAATAGACCAACCCAACATGTTTGGAGGATGGCGCACTCAAGTAGGATATCAGTGTGCAGTAGGATCAGAGTCGTCAGAAGTAAGAGGATCAATAGCAGGGGTAGAGACAACCGGTGGAGGAGGAGCCTTGCGATGAGAATAAACTAACAGCGGAGGAGGAGAAGAAACCGAAGGAGAAGCAGCCAAAGATGAAGCAGGAGGAGAAGATGGAACAAGCTCAGGAGGAACTGCGGAGATGTACTCTTCAGACGGGACCTCAGAAGGAAATGGATCAATATGAACCAAATCCTCTTTGGAAACTAGGGCGGTGAGAGGAGGAAGATGAAAGTAAGGTAGACATTCGAGAAAGGCAACATGGCGGGAGACATAAAGGCGACGGGAAACAGGGTCATAACAGTGATAACCTTTCTGAGTGAGACTATAACC